CCCCTAAGTGAAACAAATCTAATTCTTTTCTGTCTCTAGCATTAAGGGATCGACTCCATTCATGGTTGTATTGGGTGAAAGTTTTGGTGACTAGAGACATGATATTATTTTTCTAAGGCCAAGAATTATTTTATTCGCTGGAATTATGAAAAGAATTGGCTGGGCAGGGGGCTATTTATACACAAATTACGAGCACTTTTAATCAGGATGAAATACGAAGACGGCGCCAATTGGCGCCGGACGCCAAGGCTTGGCGCCACATGCCAAGTGTAGCACCTGGCGCTACACACAATTGCGTGGCGCCAGCTAGCGCCAACCTGCCACGTCAACCGCGCTTTCTTAAATTGCGTTTTTATCCTAAATTCGAGTCGACTAATGACTTTACGGCCCCGATTATCTTTTCTAAACATATTTTTATACTTTTTTAATTAGTATAACTATTATATTAATTATATTATTCCTTTTTGGATTTTATTTAGATTAACTTCCAAAGTTTGTTATAAACACAAGCATTCTATTTGATTTTTCCTTTTTTTCATTTTTTCTTTTGGGGGAGAGAGTTGGATACCCTCCATCAATAATAACAATGACGGAATTTTTGCGCAAAATTACTTGTCACACTTTTTCTTGCACACACAAACATGCACTCATAATAGTATGTATGTACAAAATATGTCTAAAAATAGTGAGTCTAAGGCAAAGTTCTATACAAAGTCAAATAATAAAAAGCACAGGTACAAACCACCTCGCGCAAGAGCTGACAAAGAAATAAGTCAGTAAACATGCATAATATAGTGGACAAAATTTGCAAATAAATAAGCTTACTCGAGTCTGGTGGCGAGATATCGACCGCTCTATGAGGCGTGGTCGAGGAAATCATCTCCCCAATCGGCCTATATGTCCCCTGATAGTGGATAGACATACAGGATAGCACGAACTCTGCAGCATCGTCCTGTAAAGCAAAACCAAGTATGTGAAGCATTACATGGGGGCTACTTAACGAGATAAGAGCTGAAAAATCGTACCGCTATATCCTTAGCTGGTACAAGAACTGGAGCTAACAACGGTAGTAGCTTTATCTGCATAGCATCACCTAGGGATCGTGCAAGATCACCAAGGAGGACCAGATCCCCCTGTTATGCTCAACAACCTCGTTGTAATATATTGAGGGTTCCTTGGTACGCCAGTTAGGCCCTCTAAGCAATTTGACATGATTTTTAGTAATCGGCTTGATTGCATAAAGTGATCCACCTGATGAAAGATCGTCTCACTTAGCTTAAAGCGCCTAAGCATTGGCTTATTGAAAAAAGGCACCGACATACAGGTTTAAAAGCAGAAAAAGGCACCGACATGCAAGTTCAAAAGAAAAGAGGGCACCGACGTACAGGTTCAAAGCAACGGAAGCGTCGACGTACCGGTATAGCGGAAGCAAAGTTCAGGCTACATTTAAAGATCGACAAGTGGGGGTATTTGGTAACTTCCTTTGGAAAATTATCGCATCAAATGAGGATGACTTCAAGCGAGGATATCTTCGACGGCATTCCCTAGCTTGTGGAGAGTTGTCACAAAAACAACTGAAGATTGTTTCAAGAGAAATTATCTTCGATAGTATTCCCTTAGACGTGGAATATTATCAATGCGGATGAGGATTGTTTCAAGAGAAGCAATCTTTGATAGTATTCCCTTGGACGCGGAATATTATCAATGTGGATGGGGATTGTTTCAAGAGAAGCAATCTTCGATAGTATTCCCTTGGACGCGGAATATTATCAATGCAGATAAGGATTGTTTTGAGAGAAATAATCTTCGATGGTGTTCCCCTGGACGTGGAATATTATCAAAGCGGAGGAGGATCATTTCAGGCGAAGCAGTCTTCCAAATTGGAAGCAGTTACAAGCGTAGCGGTTTTCAAGCGGGATGGCGTTCTCTAGCTTGCAGGAGGTCATCAAAACAAGGATACAGCAGCAATCGGTTACTTTCAGAGGCGTGTGCTCGACGGTGCAAGATACGCGTTTCTTAACTCTTTTATCTGTTTAACTAACGCTAGTTTGCAGGTATCGGCGTTAAAAGAGTGATTTAGGATCGCAGAAGGTTCCGAATCATTCTCCGTCCCTATCGCTACTTTGACTTTTGTTTTCGAAACTTTTGCGTTTCTCCAAACTCAGTCAAAGTGGGGGCTTCTATAGACACCCATTTGTGTCTCCCCAAAACCAAACCCAGTGATGAGTACCTTTCACGTCGAATCATAATCGAATGAAGCGAAAGTGTGGAAAGTTTAGTGTTGCGGATAGTTTTAATTTATTTTCTCTTTTCTCTGTTTTTGAAAACTTATTTTAAGAAAACAGCCAATATAGTTTGGTTGGTCAATGATATGGGTCCAATAGTAGTGTAATTGGATAGGGCTTGAAAAGAGCTTTCCAGCAATATTTTATAAGCCCAATTCCGATGAATATTGAGCAAGTTATGGCCAATTTGAGCCTTATATGCGGCCCAATGATCTAGGGGAGGGCCTAATATGATTTATCATTCTTAATGCAATTAGGAATGGTTTTAGTCTTCTAGATTCTTCTAGAAGGTTCTTTTAATTCCTAATTCAATTAGCATTGATAAATTGACTTTTGTTGACTTTTTAGAGTTTTAATTAAAATCAAATAGCATTTTTGAGGAAAATATACGATTTTATCCTCCTGTACGGCAAAACTTATCTGATTTTCGAAAACGCGTCAAAAACAGGACTAGCGCCTGACGCCAGGTATTGGCGCCTGGAGCTAGGCCTGGCGTCGGGCGCTAGTGTTAGCGCCTGGCGCCAATTAGCTGGTGCTGGCACCAGCTCTGTTTCACGTGCGCCAATGCTCTGTTTTGTTAATTTTATCTTTTTGGCTGATTTTCTCTATAAATAACGACGTAAAAACTCCGTTTTCATTCACCTACAATCAGTTTTCATTCTCAATCTTCAATTTTCATTCTCTTTAATCATCTTTCTCTTTCTCTTTCTCTCTTTTCTATTGATTGCTGGCACCAGCTCTGTTTCACGTGCGCCAATGCTCTGTTTTGTTAATTTTATCTTTTTGGCTGATTTTCTCTATAAATAACGACGTAAAAACTCCGTTTTCATTCACCTACAATCAGTTTTCATTCGCAATCTTCAATTTTCATTCTCTTTAATCATCTTTCTCTTTCTCTTTCTCTCTTTTCTATAGACAAATAGGTTTAGGGTTAATCCTATTGATTGCATGTTAACTAGAAAGCGCACATGAATACGATCAGAATAAAGTAGAGGCCTATTATTAGGGCAGGTTCAATCTTTTTTAGGTTGGATTTGTACCTTCATCCCCGAACCCTTATTTGGTTCAAGACCCTATAGAGTTGACGATCTCTTGGATCGTTAAGGGGTGTAACCTTCACCCTGTGAATGGTTTAAAAGGTCCTAAAACTTGTTGGCGACTCTTTTGCTCTATCTTCTTCCCTTTTTGACGCCACCGTACTTTAGTGTATGATCACAGTGGGGTTCAAGTTAGGGGTTAACGCTTGAAATTATTCCCTACAATAGCGCAAGACCGTTAAGGTGACTACTCCAAGCGGAAGGAAAATTTGTATAACAACAGGGCAAGGACCGATGTTTGAAGTGTCGTCCGAGTCAGAGTTAGAGTCAAAGTCTTTTCCTGTAGAGCCTTCTAAGCCTTTAGTTGTAGCACCCCCTTCTTCTTCTATTTCTACTCCTAGGATAGTTAGCAATGAAGTCCCTGAGGACATTTCCCTTTTTGATGTAATGATTTCAGAATTCAATAATATGTCTTCTTCTGCTTACTCCTCGTGTTTTTCTTTAGCCAAAGATGACAAGCATTGCTTAACTAACAATGAAAATGACAAAGAAATTATTAAAGCAATGGAAACACTCGAAAAGAAAACACCGATAATTGAGGAAACTGAGACAGTTGATATCTCAAATGATTCAACCATTAAAAGAGAAGTTAAAATCGGATTAACACTTAATGTACAAGAAAGAACCAATTTAATTAATCTACTCAAAGAATTTATTGATGTATTTGCTTGGTCATTTGAAGATATGCCAAGTATTATTAGAGAAATAGCTTAACACACTATACCACTAATTCGAGGAATGAAACCTGTAAAACAAAAGTTGCGTCGAATGAAACCCGACGTAGCTCTTAAAATAAAAGAAGAAGTTCAAAAACAAATAACTGCAGGTTTTATTAGGGTATCCAAATACCCCGAATGGGTAGCGAACGTCGTCCCAGTTCCAAATAAAGATGGAAGGGTCAGAATGTGTGTCGGCTATCGAGACTTAAATAAGGCAAGTCCAAAGGACAACTTCCCTTTACCACACATCGATATTTTGGTAGATAATACAGCAAATCATGCACTTATCTTGTTTATGGATGGATACGTGGGAAACAATCAAATTCTCAGGCCAGAAGAAGACATGGAGAAAACAACAATCATACACTACTACAAAAAAGGCCTTAGAGAACTGTTATAATAGGCTTTATAGATCGCCTTAGGGGCGTTTTTCTGCTAAGCGATGTATAAAGTATAGAGAACGGGTCGTATAGGCGTTTTATATAATAACAAATAGAGAATGGTTGTTATTCACAACCGTTCTCTTTTCCCTTCTTAAATTTGTACACTAAGGAAGAAATACAGAACGGTTTAGGCCACTTAACCGTTCTATATTGCATTATAATAGAGAACGGTTAAGTTAGATAACGGTTCTCTAATGTTTTTTTTAAAAGAAATTCTGGCCATATGTATTTAATTATTCGAATTACCCCTCTACGTATTTTATACCGTATTATTCTTGTATTTTAATAATCTGAATTATTTTTGTATTTCATTTTAGACCTGTATTCCTATTTAATATCTTGTAAATTTATATATCTTGTAAGAAAATCTTCACATTTCCTATGTAAAAAAAGTCCAAGATCCTGTACATGTAATATAACTTTCTGTATAATAAAATTAACAAAAATATTTCCAGATACGACGAAAGCCATCAAAATATACTTCATATATATAATTTAAAACATCCAACCACAATTAAATTGAATCATTCATACAAAATTTGTTATATACAAACAAATACGTGAGTTAAATATCAAAAACCTTTCTAGTTAATGTTAAATTTAAAAAAAAAATTGATGCCCCAAAATATACCAATACCATATTGATCTACAATTCACATAAATCATCGTCGTCGTCATTTGGTTGATGTTATCCGGTAACATATGAAATCTACCTTTCCCTAAGCTCGTCAATCATTTGTTGAGAATATGTATGAGGAACTTGCTTAAAATACTACAAAACAATGTAAAATACATACATATTAGTTAATAATATATTAGTTCAAAATAGAGTGTCATTGTGGGGCATGGATAACAAATAAGCCTCAGTCATCCGAAGTTGCCAACAGGCACAACCAAACAAGCAAGAGTAACAGATCTTGCAAGCATTTACACAATATCTCATGAAGGCATGATAGCAACAGCAAAGATTCGGAATACAAAGAAAAAACAAATTTCAAATAATAATAACAATTTGATCTCTTTATGTGCCATCAATATCATTACAGTTATAATTGAATTCCCTTGAGCACTACTATTCGTGTTAACTAGCTTAGCATTAAGACACAAGTTCTTTTATTTAATATAACCAAACTCTACTAGTTAAAATAATAAGCAATTAGCTAAATATATCTACTTTTTTTTAACACAAAAGGGAAAACCATTATATTATATGATGGTAAATCTGATGATATGATGGTAAATCTGATGATCGAAATCATCAGGAACAAAATGAGGATAATAAGAGGGCAATATAAACCACTCCAAATCATCCGAGTTTTTCCCAGTACAACAGATAAGAACATAAACTAGAGCTGAAAATAAGATAAAGTTCAAAAGATAAGCAGGGCTAAAGATGAGCAGCACATCATAACTAAATAGCCTGCAATTCCGGAATTTCCATGGCATATGTCTGGAAAACTTCAGGACATCTATTGCCACTGATAAAATCAATATCTTTATTGATTTAAAGTGCACATCTACTGCCACTAATACATTAAAGCTACGAAAATGAAGCCAAAAAATGGGTGTCCCACTCCCACTTATGAGAAAATCCATTTGAAAAAACCAAAAAAAAAAGCAGAGGATTAGTGCTTAATGATGCAACACAACCAGTTGCTGCTGCTAAAGTGCGGGTTCTGGGGCCTAGGGAAGAAGAAAGATAAGGGAGAACCCTTACGGGAACGGAATGCGCTTTCTCTCACTTACTAGTAAAATAACATTCTATCAGGCAGCAATGTAATGCAGCAGAGGTAGGCAAAAAGGGATTGAAAGTGAACGATGAAATAGAAAATAAATAGAACACAAAACAAGACCCTTTTAGAAAGTCTGAACCTGCTGCTGCTGCTAAAGGGTCAGTACTTGGAGCAAACTGCAGCCTGCTAAAGTCTGAACATTCTATCAGGCAGCAATGTAATACATCTACTGCCACTGATACATTAAACATGCTGCCGCTCCTCAGCATTCGAATTCTCACCCTTCCCTCTCGATACTGTCAACCTCCTTTTACTCCCAACCCTCCCTTTCACCAATACACGCAATGGAAAAACCCAAACCCCTCTCATCTCCCCCAAGATCAAAAACCCAAACGAAAGGCAAATCGACAAAATTGGAAAAATACAATCAATCACAGCACACTTCACTAACCTGAAACTCCTCCCATCCCCAATCAATTTCACCCCAAAAACCCATACTTTCCCCCTTGAAGCTGAGTACAAAGCCAAATAATTAATCGACCCACCATTGTAGGTCCTAACAGTAATTTTAGATAGCATAATTGTTCAAAAACTACAAATTTTAGAGAGTATAGTCAGATGTGTGCATCAGCTACTCAAAATACATTAAAACTAAATGTCGTACCTTGTCGGGGATGATCATTTGCCTAGATTCAATTGTCTCAATCATGTAGCGACAAACATAATATCCACTATCACTAGAGCCAGTAGCTTGACGAGGACACTAATACAAGCCAAAAAAAAGGGGGAGGGTTAAACCAAACTCCTAGTTATATATAATGTATTAACATATATTATGTACTAAGCATTGCAAAATTAAATTAAAGATACAAATACCTCTATGCTTATCCATTTAATGTAAGGTTTCTTCTTTATTTTTGTGATATCCTTTCGATGTCCCGCGCTAAAATTGATCATTGCCCTACGTAATTATCAAAATATTAGAGTAATAGTATTGAAATACTTTCATAAAAAGAAGTTAACATGTAACAAAATAAGTAATCTAGCACATACTTGTTGATTATTGTTTGAGCAAATTTGGGAGGTTCATCTTTTACTCCCGCGGGATCTAGCCAATGCACCAAACCAACCCATGGACAAATAACAACCAACATCCAATGTCCACTATATTGATTAAAACAATAGAATTCAAATACAATAATGAATGTTTAAAAGGAATTAGAAATAAAACTGATAAAAAATAAAAAAATATGTGATAGACTCATATGCACTTACTCCTCATAATACGGGGCAAAGAAGAGCTGATTTTTGTTTTTGGCATCATTACATGAAAATAGCCTAGCTAGATAGTCACATCGATCATCGTCATTTTCCACAGTTGGAGCATACGGGGATAGATAGTTGCAATCACAAAATCCATACAACCCTGAGATACCTTCTGTATGAACAATCTCACTCATATACCTTGCATATCAAATATTTATTTAAATTTATTAGCTCATTAATAAAAAAGCGTTATAAATTTAACCTTGAAATGGCAAAGGATACAACACTTACATCATTAAAATTGACATGTGTGACGATTTTATCTCTCTTTGGAAGCACCAGTCAAGCATGTCTTCATAATCAAGGGTAACACATTGCTCATTTTGAAACACTGTACTCTAGCCAAAACTGTAAAAGATTTTGTTTTACCACTCGTTTTCATTGCAATAGCCACATCCTTAAATACTCGAACCAAATTAGAAGTCAACTTCAACTTATCAGCATGAGTTATTATGTACTTTCGAGTGCATGATGATTGTGATGATGGCGAGTGTGGAGATGGTGCAGCGATTTCTTTAGTGACTTGCTTATTAGCCTTGTCATATAATCGCAGGGGAAAAAATCAGCCAAAAAAAATTAACAGGTATATAATGTGACAGAATTATAATTTAAAACTGAATTTTACCTTCTTTATAGGAAAAACCAAGTGAGAAGGCCATATTAAATAATAATTTAAAGTTTGACAAATGAATCTTATCTCCCCTTCAGGACATGGCAAAGGTGCATTTAGGTTGATTTCTTCTTTAACACAAACTCGATAATGACCACTTGGGACGGGCTTGAAATGATGCTTGACAACTTCTCCTTCCATCCCAACATACACTTATCCAATAGCAACTATATCGACCCCTTTGTCACTCTTAATTGCAAAGGAACAAAGACTATCAACTCCATAAATATGGATTATGGTATTAATAAACTTTTTCAAGATTGATAAGATGTAGTAGTCTATAATTTAACACCATCAGAAGAATATAGGATATATGTACTTACATCAAACATATAAGTATTATGAAATAATGTTACCTTTGGAAATGGTTGGCCAGTAATGTCTTGTTCATTATTGAGTACATGCGTTTCCAAATTCTCATTTTCTAGCACATATTCGTCCTCAGGCCACGCAACATGGTATGGCTCGGGTTGAACCTCACATGCTTGAAAATTCTGCTCTTGGAAGTTGAAACCTCGAACCCCTTGGTCACCTTTGGAGCCAAAGACATCTAAATGATCATCTAACTCTTCACCACCAGAACCACCCTTTTGGACACTTGCTAACTGATGGGTAACTTTGTTTTGCTCTGAGGCAAGTTGGAAGCTAAGACCTTGAAGCCAACTGTCACGACCCAAGCCAAGGCCATCTAAACCTTGGCCACCAGATCCACCAGCTTGGATACCCGCTAACTGATGGGCAACTTGGTTTCCACTTGAATCACCAAGTTCTTTCAATTGCTCCGCGTTAACCTGACCACTTGACATTAAGTAAGACAACAATAAATTTTGAGTGTTAACCACATTTTCTAATTTTGATTTGAGACACTTGAGATTTGATTGCAATTGACTTTGTGGTAATGGTTTATTGTAGCCAAAGTACAGCTTATTTGTAACACCCGACCCAACGCCCCCAACACAACCACCATGTTCAGGATTCTTTAATGCTCTCGCTAGGATATCATTCCGGCCAGTGGCCTCAATTTCTCCTTGGATTTGTTGAGCCTCCAATGCTTTCTGACATCAATAATAAACAACCTAATTAAGGTAGTGTACTCTATTATAGCCAAATAATTTATTTGATTCAAAAGTAGAAACAAACTCACAATTGTTTGAGTTATTTCAAAATCAGCAGGATTGTCAAAGGTCATTGCACCATCTTTTTGTCTGGAATGAGCTCTTATCCAAACTAAATGTCGAGACACGTCTCTAACTTGCACTCCTTGTTTCTGAAGTTCAGCAGCCTGACAATACAGATAACACAATACCATTTAACAACTAAAAGTCATCCCTTAATTGATTATTTACTGTTATTCCTAAAAAAGTTCAACAAAAAATCTGACATAATCATTTCAGTTCAGCAGCCTGACAATACATATAACACAACACCATTTAACAGCTAAAAGTCATCCTTTAATTGATTATTTACTGTTATTCCTAAAAAAGTTCAACAAAAAATCTGACATAATCATTTCAGTTCAGCAGCCTGACAATACATATAACACAACACTATTTAACAACTAAAAGTCATCCTTTAATTTATTATTTACTGTTATTCCTTAAAAAAAATCAACAAAAAATCTGACATAATCATTTCTAAACTTACAATCTCTTGTTCATAATAGAAGTACCCTTTTCGACCTCCTCGATATCTTGAAGTATTCATTTTCTCCCTCTCTCGATTCTTGTCACTTAGTTCCTTTCAATATAATAATGTACAACAAACAAATAATTCCCAGTTTTCAAAGGTTTTTTCATAACTATGATTAGTTATGGGCTATAATTCAAAGATTACCTTAAACGCATCATCAGTATATGTTTCAATGAACTTGGTCCAATCAGGTTGTGTTATAAATGGATATATCGAAGGTGGCTTCTTTATAATCACATTTGGATTTACTCCCTTGGTGTCGTACATCCAATCCTTTCTTAATCTGGCCTTGAAAGCTCTCCACTGGATTGAAGCTCTCCCTAATACATAATTTCTACGTTCTTCCGGCACTATAAATCCTCTCTGCACAATTCATTGACATGCATTAATATGTAATAGGTTTATAACCATGTAACTCATAAGACAAGAATAATAACAAATGAGTAAAACGGAACATACGTACTACACCAGCAATCTTTATACAAAGATACAATTCATGATCACCTCCATTGAGTGTCAATTAAAAAAATAAAAAAAAAAAAAAAAAAATGTAATACTATGGGGTTACTTGTATATGTCTAATTTAGAGATCACATTCATGAATCATGATCTGGTTATCACTATAATCACCAAAAAAATCCAAAAAATTAAAAATGAAAAATTGACGAAAATGGAAGCTGCCATTGGGCTCACCTGATTAGCCTGACACGCGCCATTTACACTATGACAGTACAAAGGTAGATTAAAACAAGGCTTTACAATAAATAAAAAAGACTTTGCTTTCATTAGTCAGTGGACTTGGTAAGTAGTCTTGATTCAATTTCCACTTTTCCTATTCATATAAATATTGCACATATTTTGTTATTCTTCATACTTCAACACTTTCATTTGTTAACACTTTCTACTCTCTTTTACAATATCATCATTTTATTTTCTTTCTAAAGTGTGAAATTCTCAAATCAAGCAAAGCAAAAACATAGCAAAAATGCAGGTTAGATCTCTTACCTTTTAAATTTGATGCTTTGTCTTTTGTCTAAAGACGGCTTTTGTATCTATTAGCGATATTCTTTGCTTTTTTAAGGTTTAAAACCATGTAACTCATAAGACAAGAATAATAACAAATGAGTAAAACAGAACATACGTACTACACCAGCAATCTTTATACAAAGATACAATTCATGATCACCTCCATTGAGTGTCAATTAAAAAAAAAAAAAAAAAAAAAAAAAAAACACTACCTGAAAAACAGATCACAACATTCCCTTAAAACAAAATAAAATATATATAAAAAAACCCTTGACAGTAAATCCAATTTATGTATGTGCTCAAAACTACCTGTAAAACAGATCACAACAAAAAGCAAAAACCACACTGCTGAAACAGCACATTGTATCCAAAGCACACAAAAACATATTTACTTTCAGTGATTTATCCAAAGCATTGTGATAATTAAATAGCAACCACAAATAAGCAACTGTATGTCTCCACTAACTATTATACAAAATTTTGTATCAAACCAGGTGGCAGCTTACTGCTGGAAAGCTGGACTTTTTACACTAAGACGTTATGCTGGCTAGCAGAAAAATTCTTAGAGCAGACTACTTCTGTCGGTCAGATAAGAACTGGAGCTTTTACCTCCTTTGTACTTACGATCATTACATCATATGGGATCAAGTATCGCTTTGACATTTTATCAAGCAATAAATATACTCTTTCTTCTGCAAAAATAGCTATTGAAAGAGGTATAAATTCTTGTAAAAAGAGTTGATCAGCATTTTGTTTTGGCAAGGAAAATTCCCTTTGTTTTGACAGGACACACTTAGCATCACAATTGGCCAAACCACTGTGATAAACTTGGGTCAAGAGCAGCCTATACGGGTCTACAAGAGAAGGACAATCGGGCACCAAGACCAACAACAAGGATGGCAGCAGCAGGGGAAGTCTCAAGGCAAGGCAATTCCAAATAAGTAGAAGACAAATACAATTGAGAAGAAGAGAAGGAAAGTCAGCAGTTAGTTTTATTATGTTTTAGTATGGTTTTTCCTAATTAAGCTAAGTACTCGCATGTAGCGGCAAGGTCAATGTAGACCGTTAGAATGGGTAGTATAAGGATTGTAGTCTAGGAATTAAGGAGTTTTTATCCAAAAATTTGTGAGGAAAATCTTGGAGAGTTGCAACCTCAAGTTTCTAAGGAGAGTGGTGGCCTCAAGCTACTAACTTGTATCATTTTGCTATCAATCAATGGAAAAATCAGTCCTTCTCTCTCGTAGCATTATTTAAAGTTTCCAGTTCATTACAACCACTTTACCAAAGATTTCTCGATATCATCCAAATCAAGCAAATAATTTGAGCTATAATACCCTTGGCATTTTACAGTCTTGAGAGCCCTTGTTGTTATAGTAACTCTTTATAAAATCAGCATATGAATGCTTAGCCTCATCAGAATTACTGCGGTCTCGCTTAGTAGTATAGCTAATTTATTTCAAGAACTGTATGACCATCGAAAACAAAACAAAGACATCCTCCAGCAAAAAAAAATGACCAAACCAATATTTAGATTTTAAACCAAAAAATTAAATAGCTTACCGTAATGAATTTAAAGAGGTCATCAATAACTTCTTTTGGAACTTCCTCCAAGTCGCGATAATTGATATTCACTCTTTCACGAACAATTACACCAATGTATGATGAAAAAATATCTCTATTTTCCCCAAATGGCACTTTATTGTGATTCCATTCCAAAGGGATTTTGACACCACTCAGAAATGCTTTTCCAACTACTGCAGCTACTGTACGACCCCTTCGATTCTCACAATCAGCAGATTCTTCAGCCTCGCCAGTTTCAGAGGCCTCATTAGCACTTGCTTGCTTTCTCTTTTTTGACATCAACCTGCAAACATACAAATATATTAGAAATCATCTCTAAGAAGTATCATTAAAATCAAATAAAATAAAGCATTTGTCTAAAAACTCTATATCAAGAACAGATTATAAATTTCAATACAAGAACCATAAGAATCAGATTTTTTTAGTAGCATAATAACCTGTACGACGCCGCTTTTTAGGTCGATTATTAGCATTACTATTTTCATTGTCATGCCAAATCCCTTCTTCATGATCATTACGTATATATGTTGTTGTATCATCAAGACTATCATCCACATTTTGTACCTCACTAGGGGTAGACCTCTCCTCATAAGAAATATTTTCATCGTTGTCATCAATGACATATCGAGGTTTCGATGTGACAACAACTGATTTTCTTTTATCACACGGGTCAGTAACATAAAACACTTGTTTAGCTTGACTAGCCAAAATGTATGGATCTTTTGTATGACCTATCTTGTTGAGATTCATAGTAGTATGCCCTAAACCATCGCATACAACATTGTTATTATTGTCAGCCCATTTGCAACCAAAAATAGGTATCGAAAAACCCATATAATGCAACTCACATATCTCTTCAATTACCCCATAGTATTGCATTTTGCTGTAAACCGGTCGATTATCTTTAGAACTAAACAAATGCATCGCTTCCGCTTCAACACATACCCCGCTGTTTTGCATAGTGCTTTTATCATCTTGCTCCCTAGTATAAAAAATGTAGCCATTAATGGCATAACCAGAGAAAAATGAGGCAGAGAAATCAGGACCATTAGCTAAACTTCTAAGTCGGTCAGAAATAGTTTTTGGGGAATTTTTGATCTCTTTCATTACTTGATCCTTGAGCCAAAGATGAAATGTTTTACTTTGTTCAATAGCTAAAGCTTTGGAGCTAGCCTTTCGATTATGCATCTTCAAAAAAGTCATATGTCTATTAATATATGGTGCAATTTCATCTTCATTGAAAAGAATATATGTGTGGGCCATGTGCCACTTTTCAGAAGAGAAGTCAAGTTCTCTACGACCAATGGTTCCCTTACCCTCAAGTGTGTCACTGTGTCGAGAAGTAGAAATCCCTACTGTCCTCATATCTCCTAAACTTTTAAGGCAATATTCCATAGCTAACTCATAAAGCATTCTCTCAGCGATACAAGCCTCAGGTCGATAAGCATTCTTAACATACCCCTTATAAGTTTTCATTTGTCTTTCAAAGGCCCATTGAGCTCTATTGTGCACGGGACCACAAAATCTAATCTTCCTTACCAAATGAACTGGAAAATGTATCATTACATCAAAAAAAGCCAGGGGAAAGTACATCTCTAATTGACACAAAATAACAACAATTTCAGTTTCTAAGGAATCCAAATCTTTTGGATTGATGACTTAACTGTATATTGCCTTAAAGAAAAGACATAACCTGATAATGGAATATCATACATTTTTTGGCAAAATTGAACGAATAGCAATAGGTAAGAGATCTTGCATAAGAACATCGCAGTCATGAGACTTCAAGCCCACGAGTTTCAAATTCTCCATTGAAACAAGAGAAGAAATGTTTGAAGAATAACCCTCAGGCACTATAACTCCGGCTAAGGATGCACAAATCTCAACTTTCTCCTTCTTAAACAATGTATAAGCAGCAGGTGGCAAATAGTCCCGTTTTCCAGTCTCAACGGCATGGAGCTCATTTCTCATATTCATTTCCTTCAAGTCAAGTCGAGCATTAACACCGTCTTTTGTCTTCCCTGAAATATTTAATAGTGTGCCAATGAAACTATCAAACACATTCTTTTCGATAGGCATAATATCTAGAGAATGTCGAACAAAGAGAAATCTCCAATAAGGAAGACGCCAAAAATCACAACACTTCTTGTACCCTTTCTTAAGAATGGCATCTTTATTTTTCTTTAACTTGTAAAAAGTAAGTTGAATGTCTTTCACCTTTTCAAATAATTCTTGGCTAGTAAAGACTTTTGGGTGACTTTCAAAATTTTGTTCCCCATTAAAAGCTTTCTTCATTCGACAATACTTATGATCTAAAGGAAGAAATGGATGATGATCATAGTAGACCGTCTTTCTAGATGTCGATAACCATTTGCCTTTCCAACCATCTTCACATATAGGATAACCACCTTCCCCTTTTACAGAATAGAAAGATTACCATATGCTGGATAATCTTGTATGGTGCAAAATAACATTGCTCTGAAATTGAACATTTCATTCCGATTAGCATCAAACACTTCTACACCTTCTTCCCACAATAACTTTAAGTCATTAATGAGAGGTGCCAAATACTCATCGATGTCATTTCCTGGTTGTTTAGGACCAGAAATAAGCATTGACAACATAATGTACTTTCTTTTCATGCATAACGAAGGAGGTAAGTTATAAGCCACTAGCATGACCGGCCATGTACTATGGATGCTACTAAGGGAACTATATGAATTCATACCATCAGTAGACAACCCAAGGCGTAGGTTTCGTTCTTCACTACCAAAATCAGGTAATTGTCCATCAATAAATCTCCATTGCGGTGAGTCAGCCGGGTGTCTAAGTAACCCAACCTTTTTTCGACCAAATTTATGCCATGTCAACTTCTCTGCATCTACCGGGTCTGAATACATCCGTTTAAACCTAGGAATAATTGGAAAATACCCCAAAACCTTAGCTGGCACTCCTTCCTTTTTCTTGTACCTTGAGAGATTACACTCTGGGCAACTCTTTGCTGATTCATTTTCATTTCGATAAAGTATGCAATCGTTAGGACACACATGAATTTTTTCATAACGCAAACCCATTGTGCATAATGTTTTTTTTGCCCTATATGTATTCTTTGGCAAAAAATTATCAGATGGAAGGACATTTATCAAGAACTCAAGTAATGCTGTAAAACTCTTATCTGTCCAACTATGACCCACCTTCAAATTGTATAACTTAAGTAAAGCTGATAGCTTTGTGTACTTACACACTTCATATAAAGGCTTCTCAAAATCACTCAACAATTCTTCCATCGCATTGGGATCATCATCTACGCTGTGTAAGAATTGACTCGTCATGTCCTCTAATTCGTTACCCTCATCGATATTATGGCCTTGAGCATCCTTGCTTGTCATTTCTTCCCTTTTTTCACCATGACGATGCCAACAAGTATATGTTCTATCAAATTGCCTTTTACTCAAATGATTAAGTATCACATTAGCTTTGTGATACATATGATTATGGCAGATGTAACAAGGACATGGCAATTTATCACGCCCTTTACTATTATTTTCCAAAGCGAATTTAATAAATTCCATAACTCCGGCTTCATATCCTGGATCCCCTAATTTTTTGTGGTTATCCAAGTTCGGTCCATATCTACAAACTAGGAAGTTAAAAATAAAAATAAACACACTCAAATCACAAACATAACTGCACTTGCTATATACTTATGGATATAATTTTAACATACACTACCATAGTTAATGCCTACAACAATGTAAATAAAAACAAGCTAATAAACTTAGCTTTACATGTTAATAACAATTTATTTAAGCTCTTTAATTACTAAAGTATAAGAATCTATTTTATTAGTGCAAATGAATGATACAGTATTATAATGTTTTTTCATATAATGTAATTATTGGACCACCTCATAACCCGTTTGTTCATTAGTTTCTTTAATTAGAAATAAGCTTTGTTATGAGAACTTATCAAGTCAATTATGCCCAACGTTGTTCAATAGTGAAAGAAGGCCCCACCTTCACCATTATTTGATATACATGCAACATCCCCATAAAAAGCCACAAATTTGAGATATTATTATAATTATTACTACTAGTATTATAAATAATTCAGTACCACAATTATGACTCCCATCTCTTATCTCTTCTCTCTTCACAATCAGAGACACAATTTCCACAAAAACACTGCACACCCTTTACCATTTTCTTACTAGTAGAATATTTAGCCCCCCTTCTTTGTTTTGCTTTCTACTTACCATTTTCTGTTCCAGTGGGCATCAAGCTCTATATCTAATTTTGTCTGACCTTAAAAACCAAACACCGAATTATAAATGTTAATAAAGCAGAAAGATTAATCCTTGCATAAAAGAAACCTCAATAAACCAAACACCGAATTATAAATGTTGATAAAGCAGAAAGATTAATCCACTATAACCAAATCAAAACTAAGAAGTAAGAAGAGAGCCAGAGAATAAGATCTGACAATTTGAATCCCAATAATTTAAACATCAACATAAACCATGAAGTATCATTTCATAAATGTGTTTGTGCAACTGAATTGGCTGCTTATCAGGTGGTCAGTCATTACCATAGCTCATCTAAAACAAAGATATTTTGAACCATTGTGTCTTTCATAATGTATCCTGCATCATTCAATTTCCACGATACAAGTGATCATACAGTAATTTATAATTTTGTTTTTAAACGAACCTCATTCACAAAATGGGCTCAGCCATATCCTCATCAATTCTACCAACAGCATATATTACCTCACTAAACCAAAACCAGAAATTCTATGTTTATCTTACTGTGTTAAGTCCTATCTTTTTCTTTCTTTTTTAAAAAAAAAAAAAATCTGATTAGGGTTCTAAATTGAACTTAGGTAAGATTAATTTGGCTAAAATAATTTTGATTACAAGTGAAATAAAAGTAAATTCGACAAATGTAAGGATAATTTGATTGAAATTACTGCAATAATTCGGCTTAAATATATACATACAAACAATCCATGAATTTATCCAAAAAACAAGAACTTTAAAGTTTTTTTCAATCACCTAAAATTCGAATTCTACTAATTTATTTCTGTTTCCTTCATAATTCAAATGATTCATGCAATGAGATTGAGAATTATCATAATGCAATTACTCTACCACAAGAAAAATTCAAACCAAAAAAAAAAAAAAAAAAAAAAAAATCGAACCTACCTCAATTTACTGCAGGTGGCTTAGCAGACGATTTTGGTACTGCAGATGGACGTGGAACGACGGTGGAGCGGCGGTGGAGTGGCGGCTGATGAAGGTTTTGCTATGGAGGTTTGATGGAGGTTTAGCCTTAATTCTTTACTGCTGAATTAGAAAGAGGTTTCTTTTTTATATGAAAGTGAAAGTGATGATGCGCGCGTTTCAATTTTCCCTTTTAGCCGCTCTTAATTTCACAATTTTGGTAAATTATAACTCCGTATATACGTATATAATTTCTCCTAATTTAAAAAAAAAAATAATTAATATAATATAAAACGGTTGTCAAGATAATCGTTCTATATCATATATAATAAATAATTATTATTTTTAATTATTTGAGTAAATTGAAATACAGAACGGTTAACTATGCTAACCGTTCTATATGTATTAAGATACAGAACGCCTCTTATATTAAAACGATCTATATTCTTCTGGAGAACGCCTATCTTTTATAACCGTTCTATATTTTGCGATCTCTAAACTAGTTTTTGGTGTAGTGATAACACCATGGGTACTTACTGTTACACAGTAATGCCATTCGGGTTGAAAAACGCGGGTGCTACTTACCAACGAGCAGCGTCTGCCTTACTCCATGACATGATGCATAAAGAAGTTGAGGTATATGTGGACGACATGATTGTGAAATCAAAAGATCGCCCAGGACATCAAGTAGCCTTGAGAAAATTCTTTGAAAGGCTAAGGAAATACAACATAAGGTTGAATCCATCCAAGTGTGCTTTTGGAGTCGCCTCAGGCAAGCTCTTAGGATACGTCATAAGCTCTAGAGGAATAGAGATAGACCCAACCAAGATCAAGGCAATCATGTTAATGCCACCGCCCAAAACCGAGAAACAAATTAACAACGATATGCGAACCAATATTCAAGAAACTCAAGAAGAGTGTACTTGTAATATGGGATGATGAGTGTCAAAAAGCCTTTGAAAAGATCAAAGCCTATCTTGCAAATCCTCTCGTATTAGCACCAGCACTTCCAGGAATACCTCTTAGGTTGTACTTAACAGTCACGAAGGAGACAATAGGAGCCATGCTTGCACAAGAATTTGAAGGTAAAGAAAATGCAATCTATTATCTAAGCAAAAAGATGCTCGAATATGAAGTATGTTATACACTGCTTGAGAAATTGTGCCTCACATTGGTGTGGGTCACAACCAAGATAAGACATTACATGCTCGTGCATACAGTCTTTGTAGTTTCCCGAATGGATCCACTTAAGTATCTATTCGAGAAGTCTACGCTCAATGGGCGCATATCAAGATGGATAGTCAACTTAGCCAAGTTCGATGTGAGATTCATGCCTCAAAAGGCTATCAAAGGATCTGTGGTCTTGGATTTCCTATCAGATTTCCCAATAAAAGATTCAACGCCAATACACGACAATGAATTTCCAGACGAAGATTTGATGGTCACAGAAGATGATACTTGGACTCTTTACTTCGATGGAGCTTCAAACCAAAAGGGATGTGGGGTTGGAGTATTATAGTATTGAAAGGAATAGTGTCCTTCGAACAAGTGTATTATTCTGATAGCGGGTTCAGAATTATTAGAAAGCTAATATATTCAGTAAGGTCAAGTGATCGGAATGCATGGGTGGAGGCCGCTTCCGATCAGTAATATTAATATAATTAATATTACAGCTTAATCTTGACTGAACCCTTCGGGTCACACCCAAGCAAATATATGCGAACCAACTCGACGGATTAATTCGGAAGAAATTAATTCGTCGCCCGAGTGTTAAATAATTAGACGTCGGTAATTCGAGCTTAGAGCGTCGAAACCGATCGTCGGAAGTCGAGTCTAAATAATAAAAGACGAGACACACAAAATAATAATAAATCAACAATATTCTCGAAAATACCCTAACATCGGAGTGCCCCGAGCATCCGAATGCTAGGGGCAAGACGAGCCGGCGCACCGTACTGTAGCCACGGCCAGCCGCGGCTAGGCACAGCAGCAGCCGCGCCGCACCATGCCACAGCAGCAGCTGGTGCGGGCTGGGCTCGGGCCAGGTGCGGGCCAGATGCGAGCTGGGTGCGGGCCGGGCTCGGGCTTGGCTCGGGCCATAGGGCCGTGTACAAGGGGAAGGTTGGGAGCAAGTGGGTTGCCATGTGGCACAAGGTGAGGGAGAGAGTGGGGAGCAAGTTTGGTCCCCATCTCCAAGTGGTCCTCACCTACTCTCTCATGTATGCTTGACACTTGTTGATTTATTACTAGTTTGCTTAATAATTTTATTTTAGCTTTAAAATAAAAAAATCTCATTGTCCCACATTGATGGGAGAGATTTTCATACTCCATCATTCCCTATAAATACCCAACTTTGGGCATAGGAAATGATGCTTGAGTGGGAGTTAAAAAGAGCATTCCATAATATTGGAAAAACTCTTAAACTCATATAACACTCGGGTTTTGGTCGGACCTCGCTAACCCCAAGGTAGTAGACCTTAAAGTTGTGTTCGCCCTTTTGCGGGTGGATACCGTTGGAGGCGCGGCGCTTGACGTGCTCGTAGCTTTCAAGTAAGAGCCCCGGTTTTTGGGCGAAGCTCGCTTCGAGGGTAAGATTCGTTATCTTTTCTTAGTAATTATTTATTTATGCTTTATGATTTTAATTATTGCGAGTGGTTCCTTGGGTCGGGGTTTGTTTCCGCGGTGAGTCGGACTCACCAAACCCCAACAGCGGTATCGGAGCCCCGCTCGTTTATTTTTATAATCATATTTTTCAAGGTTTATTTTGGCTTAATTTTCTGGTTTAAGTTGCTAATTAGATTAGTAGCTCGGTTTTATTTATTTTAATCCCGTTTTTAATGTCGATTTTGGCAAGACTAGTGAATTTTGGGTGGAAAACGTATTCTGGAAAGGTTTTTATCCCCAAAGGGAACTGTGATTTTAGCCTAATTCTGACCAGAAATGCTTTTTTCGAGGGGTTTTTCGTTTTTGACGAAAAAATTTAAGTCTTTTCTAACCTTGAAATTAATGGCATAAATTGTTGATTATATGGTTGATTATTTGCATTATTTTCTGCAATTTTATGTCCCCTTAAAGCACACTTACTTGGTAGTATTTGATGCTTAAAGGTTGATTTATTTTCACATAATTGCAAACTAATTGCTTTTTAGTGTGAAAGTTTTAATTTTGAGGCTTCCATAAGTGTTAAAGATTCAATCTTTATTTGTGATAAGTGATTGAAACTTTAAAAACCACTAAATTCCATGTTATTTTGTGTTAAACTTTGATGTTTTAATCATTTTGAGTTGATTGGAAACATAAAGTTTCGATTTTTGTGATAGAAATTTGGTTATCTTCATGTTGGAAGATATAATTTCCAAGGATTCACAAAATTTAGATGTTGGAATTTTCATTTGAACATTAAAGTTCATATTTTTTCCAACTTCCCTTTACTTTGTCAAATTCTCAAGTTTAATTTAAATTGATTAAATTGAAAGTGAGAAATTGCCTCAATTTTATGTTGCACCTAGCTAAACCAATTTAATTAAGAATGGTTCTTGGAATTATTTTGGTTATTTGCACTTTAAAAATTTTATTAAGTTAGACTTGTTTAAAATTTTATTTTTCTCTCTAAATTAGTTCTAAAATTAATTTAGAATTAATTATTGTTGTCTTGCGAAAAGGGATCAAATCCCGAGGTCATGGCACGCAAAACGAGGCATTGCATCACCTTGGCGAGCCGGGCTGCATAGCAGCCCATATGTGGCTGCCAAGGTGGCAGCACCGCCTTACTTGCGGCCACACGCGCGGCAGCAGCCACGCAAGGCAGACGCGCGGCTGTGCCGTGGCAGCAGCTCGCGGCCGTGTGCCGTGGGCCGTGTGTTCGTGGTCTTGGCGTGTGTGTATACTTGGTGCGGTGAGGTGGCTAGCCATAGTAGGCTTGATGTTGCTTATTTTGCCGTTTTACTTATTTTAATTAACTTTGTTTATTTTAATTAAAATTTTGGGAGGCTAGGCCTCGGTTTTGAGCGGCATTGGCAAAATTTCATTTTGACAAGTTTGGGTGCTACCGACTTAATTAATTAGATTAATTAAGGAAATGCGGAATTTAGTGGGAGATTCAATTATTAATGACGTAATTATTATAATCGGTTAAACAATTTTGACTAGTTTTAATTAGGCGTGTTAATCGGATTAACCACCTGGATTAGTTACTAGTGCGCGCGTTGTTTAAATGCATTTTACTTTGTTTTAATTTGTAAATTGCATGGGCCATTCACAAATAGTAAATGGATGAATGGAATATATGTATATATTCTCTCTCACAGGTTTTATGAAATGGCAACTAGTGGGACCCGACTAGGATAGAAAATACGGACTACGTGCCGTTATGTATTTTTGTAAATCTAAATACGGTCTACGCACCGTTAAGTATTTTTGTACTTTAATATTTAGATTATTCCTAGTTGTAGACACTAGTTTTTTGCATAGTTTGGTTAAGTGTTGAAGACGGCGTATCTTGGAAGACAAAGCCTCGAATTGCAAATGAAGACCTTTTGAAGATATGAAGATCTCAAGGGGTCATGCTAGTTGCAATATGCATCTATAATTTCGCTTTATATTTTATGCTTATATATATATATATATATATATATATATATATATGTGAATTATTCGTTAGATGCATGTTTAGGTTTTCTTGGTGTTGCGATGATTGGTTAAGTTCACTTAAATCAACCAACATAGAAATCCTAGGTCCCTAATAATATTGAGTCAAACTTGCCTTTCCAAAACAACACTTATAAACCGAACGAGAGTAATGGTAGGCTACGCCAAAGCGAGGTGCCATCACTTCTCCAAGGGGCATAAGGCACACCGAGTGTGCACGTTGGTTTTGGTTTAACTCATCGGTATGAGTGAGGAGTCCTCACATACTGTGGCAAAAGAGATACATCGTCAAAGATGCATTAGATGCGACGATTATCTAACCAAGAGTGGCTTAGAGCCATTAGCAAGGCAATGCTTACCCAAGAAGATTGAGTGTTTAAGACAAGCCAAAGCATGCTTAACTAGTCTTTGTTTCTTCGGATCTTGGAATCGCCTTATTTTCGCCAAATAGGGACAATTATTATGCGTAAATAAGACGTTTAATAAGATTGAAGTTTGCATGAATGCTATTAAATTTCAAACTTATCATGTTCTCGATAAATGGTTATACTTAGCA